CATACATATAACATTATATAACTTTTCCCCTTGCTATTTGTTCCTATGTTGCATAATCATCTACTCGTTTTCCCCCTTTTGGCATAAGCAAAAAGATATAATAGGTCAAATAGCATAAAAAAAAAGTACCATTTAGGAAGTCAACCATTTAAAATATAAAAGAGTAATAGATAACAACTAACATAATAATATTAGCAGGCGAGAAAGTAAACTAAGGGGCTGGAGGTGGGGATGAAGGAGGAAATCTAGCATAAAATTCGGTAAAAAATGTAGTCTACTGAGCCTGCATCTCAGCCAGTCGCTGCTGCATCTCGAGCTGCCGGTCCTAGATAGCTATCTGCTAAGCCTGCATCTGAAGAAGTAGGCTACCCATTCCGTCAACCGATGAGGTAAGAGAATCAATCCGCCCATAGAGGAGATAATAGTGCTCCTCGGTAAATGTGAAACGTCCTCAGGAAGTAGGAGGCACGCTCGAGTTAGGAATGTCAGATGCGGGAGCAAGAACTTCAGGTTCTTCTTCATTTGATTCAGCTTCATCTTCAAACGGGAGAGTGGATGGACCGGAGGTACGATCGAACCCTTTCGTATGAGCCACCCATTGCCCATGTTCCTTTATTATCTTCATTCGTTTTAAGGTCTGAATGTTAATAGTATCGGTAGGGCGTAATTTTATAAAATATTCACCATCCAATGAAACATTAAAATGCTTAAAGATTTTCGTGAGAAGCATCCCGTAAGGTAAAGCTTTGGTGTGTCGTGATGCATGCACAAGCTTCATAAGACCAAGTGCAATAGTAGGAAAATTAATTTTACGCCCGACTAGTAGAGAATCCAAAATAAAGAGATCGAAGTGATTGACTTCGTCTCGATGACCTTTGCGGGGAAAAATAACGTGAGCAATTATATTTTACAAAACCTTGCGTGGAAGTGTTAATTGACGTGCACTTATTTTCGTGATGTTCTCTAAGTCTTTCCCCATAACTCAATGACATGCCTCAGAAGGATCGTATGCTTCTATGGTTGGTGGAGACTTATGCAAAAACACTTCTAAGTCACAAGGCTCGAGATTAAGTAGTTGACGAATTAATGATTTTGAAATTGTAAACCTAACAGTTTTAACAAAGCAAGTGATTTCGTTTGAACGTGTCGTAAAATTTATTTTTTGATGAAATTCTTTCATAAGGCATGGATAAGCGTGTTCTTCTATTATGATCATGGTTATCCATCCCATGCGTTCAAAACATTCTTCAATATGAAAATCGGGAGCTTCTAGCATAAAATCCATAAAATCAACATTCTTACCGATTAAAATGGGCGGTTTTTCAAAAGGGTTTGGTGGCTCCTTCGGCTCCGAATCCACCTCCTCATCCGATGGTGAAGGGGATTGTTGCACAATTTTTCTTCCCCGTTTTCCACGTCTAGAACCCAACATAGTTGATAATTTGAAGAAATGGGAGATTTCCAAAATTTCCCAAAAAAAAAAAACCAAAAAAATTCCAAACTGTTGATTTCTAGGGCACAGCTCAAAAGTATGATTTTCTATGAAAAATCAGGCTTGTAGATGAGGAGAGTAATGGTGTATGAAATACTTGAACTATTATGAGTGATTTTACAAGAAAATTTCCAAGATTGAAGAGGGATTCGAGCAGAGATTCGAAGTCGATTTTTGGAAAGAGTTTTTTCAATTTTTGGTTGATAAATGGTTTTAATCTTTCGGGTTTTTTGATTAAAAAGTGAAATGAATAAGATTCAAACAAAAAAAGGTGCTATTGTGTGGATTTATAGAGAGGATTTCGCGAGAAAGATGAAGAAATGGAAGAAAAATGAGATGGTTGCGTGTTTTTAAAAACTGGACCGCCATTGTCCAGACGTCCGGATGACAGTGAATTGCAATAACATGAAACGTTCTGCCAATCTGGACAGTATAGTCCAGACAGCTTTTGCTTGTCCGGATTTTTTTTTTAAAAACTTAAGTGAAAGAAAATTAAACTTAGTTAACTTCATTTTCATCAATAATTCCCAATCCACTTTGAATAATTGAAAAATGTTTATATGCTAGAGGTTTGGTAAAAATATCGGCCAACTGATCCTCGGTCTTTATAAATTTTAATTCAATATCTCCTCTTTGTACATGATCACGAAGAAAATGATGCCGAATCTCAATATGCTTAGTTCATGAATGCAAGACGAGATTTTAGACAAATTTATGGCACTAGTATTATCACATAAAATAGGCACATGATCGTAAAACAAATGATAATCACATAGAGTTTGCTTCATCCAAAGTGTTTGTGCACAACAACTAGCGGCCAAAATATATTCTGCCTCGGCGGTGGATAGTGCAACGAAATTTTGTTTCTTACTAGACCAAGACACAAGTGAAAAGCCTAGAAAGTGACAATTTCCGTTAGTTTTTTGACGATCAACATTACATTCAGCCCAATTGGTTTCCGAATAATTAATTAAGTCAATATGAGTGCCTTTTGGATACCAAAGTCCTAAAGTTCCCGTACCACTTAGATAACAAAAAATTCTTTTTACAGCCTTTAAGTATGATTCTTTAGGATTAGATTGAAAGTGAACACATAGGAAAACACTAAACATAATATCGGGCCTACTAGCAGTTAAATAAAGAAGGGATCCGATCATACCTCGATATTTTGTGACGTCCACGGATGTACCTTGCTTATCCTTATCACGCTTTAGAGATGTGCTCATTGGTGTGTTCATAGGCTTGATGTCATGCATGTTAAATTTCTTAAGTCCCAAACATGGTTTCTTTCAAATTGATTTAATTCTTCTTGCATCGCTAGAATCCAAAACTCATCAAACTCGGCTTCTTTGAAATTCTTAGGTTCAATTTGAGAAATAAATGCACAACTACCAAAATGATTTTTGCAATAAGTTCTAGTAGTGATACCTTTTGATGGATCACCAATTATTAGCTCTTTGGGATGAGATAGAATAAACCTCCATTCTTTTGGTAACAAGAGATCACTTTGTTCTCGAGTTTGTCTTTCTTCATTTTCTTGAGTATTTGACTTTTCTATGTCTCCATTTGGTGCCTCTTTATTTTGGTCTTGAATTTTCATTTGTTCAAAGGAGCTTCCAAACCTACCTCGTCATCACTACCTTTCTCTCGATCAAATGAGTTAGTTTCATTAAAAGTAACATGCATGGATTCTTCAACGACTAGAGTTCGTTTGTTAAAAGCTCTATATGCTTTGCTAGTCGATGAATATCCTAAGAAAATTCCAATATCGAATTTGGAGTCGATTTTACCCAAATTGTCTTTTGTATTTAAAATAAAACATTTACATCCAAAAACTATGAAATAACTAATATTTGGAATTCTATTTTTCCAAAGTTTGTAAGGAGTTTTAGTTTTCATTTTGCTTACTAATACTCTATTGATAATGTAGCAGACAGTATTAACGGCTTCGACCCACAAATATTCGAGCAAGTTATTTTCATTTAACATAGTTCAAGTCATTTCTTGCAATGTACGATTCTTTCTTTCTACTACACCATT